GAGTACCGGTTGAGAAAAATCCACAAGCCAACTAGTGTCAAACACTTGTCTCTACACTTTTGTATTTTAGAATTATCGTTGTCATTGTCTAAAAATCTTTCTCATTATATTCGTCAAGGTATTTCTATATTCATTAATATCAAAATGTCATAGATCCTAAGGTTGGTGTCCATGGGGAGACACTTAAGGGCACCCAGCATGATGAGCTAGGCCCTCCACGACGGAGAGATGGATTGGGCCGACCCCGTGTGATGAGCGGGACAGAGCAATATATATATATATATATATATATATATATATATATATATATATATATATATATATATATATATATATATATATATATATATATATATATATATATATATATATATATATATATATATATATATATATATATATATATATATATATATATATATATATATATATATATATATATATATATATATATATATATATATATATATATATATATATATATATATATATATATATATATATATATATATATATATATATATATATATATTGCTCTGTCCCGCTCATCACACGGGGCCGGCCCAATCCATCTCTCCGTCGTGGAGGGCCTAGCTCATCACGCTGGGAGCCGTTAAGTGTCTCCCCATGGACACCAACCTTAGGATCTATGACATTTTGATATTAATGATTATAGGAATACCTTGACGAATATAATGAGAAAGATTTTTAGACAATGACAACGATAATTCTAAAATACAAAAGTGTAGACACAAGTGTTTGACACTGGTTGGCTTGTGGATTTTGGTAATTAATTATTTAATAATTAATTATTTAATTGAATATGTGCTTAAATATAAGTGGATGTCAAGATAATCCATTTCGAAATAATGAGAATTTTAAATGATTATCATTCAATATATAGGCTATGATCTCAAATATCATGCTATAAGAAAATTATCTCATTTTCTCCCCATTCGAAGAGTTTTCATAACATTACGAGTACCGGTTGAGAAAAATCCACAAGCCAACTAGTGTCAAACACTTGTCTCTACACTTTTGTATTTTAGAATTATCGTTGTCATTGTCTAAAAATCTTTCTCATTATATTCGTCAAGGTATTCCTATATTCATTAATATCAAAATGTCATAGATCCTAAGGTTGGTGTCCATGGGGAGACACTTAAGGGCTCCCAGCATGATGAGCTAGGCCCTCCACGACGGAGAGATGGATTGGGCCGACCCCGTGTGATGAGCGGGACAGAGCAATATATATATATATATATATATATATATATATATATATATATATATATATATATATATATATATATATATATATATATATATATATATATATATATATATATATATATATATATATATATATATATATATATATATATATATATATATATATATATATATATATATATATATATATATATATATATATATATATATATATATATATATATATATATATATATATATATATATATATATATATATATATATATATATATATATATATATATATATATATATATATATATATATATATATATATATATATATATATATATATATATATATATATATATATATATATATATATATATATATATATATATATATATATATATATATATATATATATATATATATATATATATATATATATATATATATATATATATATATATATATATATATATATATATATATATATATATATATATATATATATATATATATATATATATATATATATATATATATATATATATATATATATATATATATATATATATATATATATATATATATATATATATATATATATATATATATATATATATATATAAGAATCATAATCGGTTGAGTAAGTAAATAAAATAATTAATTATATTTAATAATTAATTATTTAAATGAATATGTGCTTAAATATAAGTGGATGTCAAGATAATCCATTTCGAAATAATGAGAATTCTAAATGATCATCATTCTATATACAGGCTATGATCTCAAATATATCATCCTGTAAGAAGATTATCTCTTTTTATCCCCATTCGAAGAGTTTTCAAGACATTACGAGTACCGGTTGAGCAAAATCCACAAGCCAACCAGTGTCAAACACTTGTCTATACAATTTTGTATTTTAGAATTATCGTTGTCATTGTCTAAAAATCTTTCTCATTATATTCGTCAAGCTATTCCTATAATCATTAATATCAAAATGTCATAGATTTTAAGGTTTGTGTCCATAGGGAGACGCTTAAGCGCTCCCAGCGTGATGAGTGATCAGTGCATATTTATGCACTTTCGCCTATATTTTTACTTAGGCATTTCTTTACTTTATCCTAATTATTTTTATATTTTATTTTGTTTTTATATTTTATTTTATTTTTGGCTTAATTTGATTTCCGCACTTATTTTTCAGCTTTAGCAGTCTGCACGGAGACGATCATAACTGGAGTTCCGGGATCCGTTTGAGGCATTCTAAAAAACGCCGGAAAGCTAAAAGAGAGAGCTAAGACTTTCGTGTTGGAGTCGAAGTCAGATTCGGCGCCCAAAATTCCAGAATTCCGTTTGAAGTTACTGCATTAGAATTTTATTTTAGTGTTGGGTCATGTATTGGGTCTGGGTTATGTTTTTGACCCAGTTGGGTTATGACCCGAATTTTCTTTATTTTTAAACGAAAAATACTCGTGTTACTGTTCATTCGGAGCTTTGAGAGAACCATGAAGAGCTAATTTCTTAGAGTCATTCTGCTGTAATCGCGTTCCAACGCTTTGAGGTTTTTACTTTATCAATCTAATTCGTTTCTCTTTCAACACAATTATATGAATTGCTTTTGCTTAATCTGTTAGTTTATAGAATTGTTTTGATTAAATTCGTATGATTGCATCCTTAGCTTTTATTCGCCGTTACGTCGCTTTGTTGTTAATTTGCGTTTATAATTCGTGTTTGCTTAATTCACGAAAACTTAATCCGTTTGCTTAATTTGGAATATAGGATTGTTAATCTAGTTTATGTCTTTTGCGCTTGTTAATTGACATAGGAATCAAATAGAGATCGAAATCGCTTAGGAAATTGGTAAGGTAGAAACCCGTGATAAGCCGGAACCGAAAACAGTAGATTGACTTATTTTGATAATCACTTATTTTAACAGCTTAATTGCATTTTCTTTATTTATCCGATCAGAAACCAAACCAACTCCCCCCTCCATTTTGAATTTGGTAGATTAATCACATAAAAGAATACTTGAGATGATATCCGAGTTGAATTGTCGCTGTATTACGTTTTCATCAAAAACACTCTTTTGATCCGCGCGTGACAACTGATCAATGAGCTAGCCCTCCATGACGGAGAGATGGATTGGGCCGACCCCGTGTGATGAGCGGGACAGAGCAATATATATATATATATATATATATATATATATATATATATATATATATATATATATATATATATATATATATATATATATATATATATATATATATATATATATATATATATATATATATATATATATATATATATATATATGTATATATATATATATATATATATATATATATATGTATATATATATATATATATAAAAAAAAGAATCTTAATCGGTTGAGTAAGTAAATAAAATAATTAATTATTTAATTGAATATGTGCTTAAGTATAAGTGGATGTCAAGATAATCCATTTCAAAATAATGAGAATTTTAAATGATTATCATTCTATATATAGGCTATGATCTCAAATATCATGCTATCAGAAAATTATCTCTTTTTCTCCCCATTCGAAGAGTTTTCAAGACATTACTAGTACCGGTTGAGAAAAATCCACAAGCCAACCAGTGTCAAACACTTGTCTCTACACTTTTGTATTTTAGAATTATCGTTGTCATTGTCTAAAAATCTTTCTCATTATATTCATCAAGGTATTCCTATAATCATTAATATCAAAATGTCATAGATCCTAAGGTTTGTGTCCATGGGGAGACGCTTAAGCGCTCCCAGCGTGATGAGTGATCAGTGTATATTTATGCACTTTCTCCTATATTTTTACTTAGGCATTTCTTTACTTTATCTTGATTATTTTTATGTTTTATTTTGTTTTTATATTTTATTTTATTTTTGGCTTAATTTGATTTCCGCACTTATTTTTCAGCTTTAGCAGTCTGCACGGAAACGATCATAACTGGAGTTCCGAAAATCCGTTTGAGGCGTTCGAAAATTCGCCGGAAAGCTAAGAGAGAGAGCTACGACTTTCGTGTTGGAGTCGAAGTCAGATTCGGAGCCCAAAATTCCAGAATTCCGTTTGAAGTTACTGCATTAGAATTTTATTTTATTGTTGGGTCATGTATTGGGCCTGGGTTATGTTTTCGACCCAGTTGGGTTATGACCCGAATTTGCTTTCTTTTTAAAGGAAAAATACTCGTGTTACTGTTGACCTAGTTACA